AGAGAGAGAGAGAGAGAGAGAGAGAGAGAGAGAGAGAGAGATACGAAGTTGAGTGGAAGGTATATATACACGTTATATACGTTATATATTCTGGACAACGATAGCACCATGCCAAAAGCATCCCCTACGTTTCTCGTCCATTATGGACGAAAAGCGTGCCAAGGTCGAGGTTTACATCGGATCCAACTTTTTTTCCATCGTCGATCGATCCGCGTGTAATCGCGGATGGAACTCGTGTCTGTTGTTTTCTATTTTCCCTCTTCCTCTTTCTCCCTTTCTCCCCTTCTTCCGTTCGTGTCGCGGAAACGTCACGTGTCGAAATGTCGCGTTAATAAGTGATCGCTGTGTGCGCGGCTATTTAACGATCGGGGCTTCGTAATCGTTCGTAAACGAACGTACGTAAACGAACGTTCGATGACGTTTCTTCGGATTGATCGTCGTAAAACGAAATTGACAATCGGGAAGGAACATATACGGATTTAATAAGCTTCAGAGAGAGAGAGAGAGAGAGAGTATCATCGACGGAAACGATCCCCCTTTGAAATTAACGTACGTTACATAAAACGTGACTATATTATCCTGTTAGAAAGTACCAATTATTGGCGAGAGGTTTCCTTCGAAAGTCTCATCTAATTAACTAACGTGTCTTTCCGAAGCCGAAAGAATAAGCTCTTTCGTACGAACGAAGATAATGTTTCCTTTCTCTTTCTTTTTTTTTCCCCCTCCTTCTTTTTCGAAGTTGTAACTCTTTCTCTCTTTTCCTCCCTCCCTCCCCCCCCTCCTCTCTCTCTCGACAGAGAACGAATCCGACGCGTTTCAATCCACTTCGCTTTTTTTCTCTCTCCTTCTTCTTTTCTGGATTTTAATTGCCCACGAAGGCAATTTCCTCCTCCTTCTCCTCCTCGAAATCGACGACGCGAAATCACTCGCAATTACGTCACGTACGTTCGAATTTCATTTTCTTAAACTCCTATTTATTTATTCGTGCGAGCATCGATAAAGCAACTCCCTCTTCCTCCCCTTTCCTTTTATAATTCGTGTCGTGCCGTCTATAGACGATCGACGACGAGTTAAGGAGTTATTCTTATTTATCAAACTTATCGTCCAACAATTTCATCCATTGCTAGATTTACACCATTTGCTACACATTTAACCTCGCCTTGTGTATATATATATATATATATATAGGGATATAATTTTTCCCTTTTTGTCTCTTCCCCTCCACAGATAAGAATTTCAGAAGCTGAACTCGTTTTCGATCCCCCGTTACGTTACTTCGTCACGTTCACCTTGAATAGCCTTAAGCCTTCTAGAAGCAACCGTCATAGTAGTAGTAGTAGTAGTAGTAGTGTGCGGTAATCTCGTTATTTTTTTCAGGGTTCGGTTTACGACCCTTGGGCCTCGGCGATGACGCAGTTATGTTAATCAGTTATCCCGGAGAGCTCTTCATGAGGTTGTTAAAGTTAATGATCTTACCACTGGTGATCGCCAGCCTTATATCGGGTAATTATACGTAACTTTATGCGTTGCACGGGGGAAAAGGGGAATAATAAAAATTGGGGAATTAAAAAAATGAGGATGATCCGAGGAATGGAATCAAGTTTGACGGATAATTTTCAGGCTCGGCCAGTTTGAACGCGAGGATGAACGGGATGATCGCCGTCCGAACTTTGGTGTACTTTATACTCTCCTCCTTGTTGAACGCTGTCCTCGGTGTCGTCCTGGTTCTGCTCATTCATCCGGGTAATCCTGGAATCAGAAAATCGATCGCGACCTCGCACAATGGAAGAGCCGTGAACATCTTGGACAGCCTTCTCGATTTGGGAAGGTGGTATTATTATTATTATTATTATTATTATTATTATTGTTCCACTTCCTTCCTTCTTTCTTTCTTTCTCGCGAGGATCGAGTGTATTCTCGCTCGCCAGCCCCAGCTCGTTATTTCCGTGCTTTTGCGTCGACACGTAAGGGAACACGTTCCTTACGGAATTTTCCTACGGATAAAAGTAGAATCCGAGCCATCGTGGTGGTCGAGCAACGCTTGACTCGTTCCACTCGTCCGTTCCACGAGGCAGATATTTTCGATTATTTTTCCATCGATACTATCGACGCCCTCTGCCTCTCGTTCGAACTTGGCCCCGTCCGAACGATAACGAACGAAACATCAAACTCGCTCGATACTCGGTTCGATCCCCCTCCCCTCCCCCCTCCCCTCCCCCCTCGGTATTTCGCTCGTTTACACGCGTGTAAACTGAATTATCGCGTATCGTGGATGAATTAAGGTCGACGCAATTTCACGATCGGTGAACTTCTCCGGGTGGCAGGATATCTATATCTATCCGCTAGGACGACGAAAATAAAATATATCGATCGGGTATACATCGTCGAGTATTACTTTATTTGCCGGTCCGTTTAAGGCACACTTGCTCGCGATGCATGCCATCCGCTAAATGGAATTATACGCTGTATCGTCGATAAACGTATCTCTATCGATCGACCGCTTTATTATAAGAAAAAAAAAAAAAAAAATAAGTGTTACAGAAATATGTTTCCGGATAATATATTCCAAGCAGCTTTTCAGCAGGTACGTCGTCTTTCGCTTTTACACACGCGTGTATTTTTGGCGCGAGATAATCGATGCATTTTATCTATGGCAGGCCCACACGGTATACGTTCCGAAAACACCGCCCTTCAAGAACCTCACCGTTCCGATATCCTCGGACGTACTCGGAGACGAAGAATTGATGAGAGTGACGCAATACAGAAGCGGGACGAACACGTTGGGCATTGTTTTCTTCTGCCTGGTGTTCGGCACGTTCTTGGGCACCCTCGGGGAGAAAGGCCAAATCGTGATCGACTTCTTCAAAGCTGTTTTCGAAGTGATCATGAGGATGGTGTCTACGGTAATGTGGTACGTGAAAATATATATTATTCCAAGATATCGATACGTCGTGCGTCACGATTTTATCGATTCGCCGTATTGGACGACACGCAGGATGACACCTGTGGGCATCACCTCCGTGATAGCTGGGAAAATATTGGGCGTCGCCGACTTGGCGTTGGTGATGTCGCAGCTCGCCTGGTTCATCGTCACGATCGTGATCGGTGTGTTCTTCTATCAGCTGGTGATCATGCAGCTCATCTATTTGGCCTTCGTGAGAAAGAACCCCTTTAAATTCTACGCCGGCCTCGCCCAGGGCACGCTCACCGCCTTCGCCATGGCATCAACGTGAGTCGTCGATCTTCGAACTCAGCCCGACCTTCAGACTACCCATATCGCCTACCTCACACGGCCTCGGTCGTCATCGTCATTTATTTCTCGAATCTTTGTTTCGACCCTTCGAATTCGAATCGCCGAATTTAACTCTCCTTTCGTTACATATACGTTATTCTCGTCGTCTCGTCTTTTTCTTTTTTTCCGTTCTTTTTTTTTCCTTCTTCTTCTTTTTTTTCTTTTTACATCGCGCCGTCGATAGTAAAAAAAAAAAAAAAAANAAAAAAAAAAGAAAAAAAACACCAGTTCAAAGGAAACTGGAAAAAAAAAGGCGATCCCAGACTCGAGAAAGAAAAGAAAAACAGGTGGACGCATGGAATCTGAATCGATTGATAGAGACAATATGTTTCAGCTAGCCGAGAGGAGGCATTGCGAGGCCTTAATTCCCACACACCGCTACTCGTCCTAGACTCGTCCTTGCCGTGCAACGTTTCACAACGCCGCGTCGATCTCGCGTTGTCGAACGTTCCAACCACTCCTTATCTTCTCCTGTCTATCTTTCGTTCGATCGTCCCCTCTCTTCGATCAACCTTTCTTCTTCGCACACGCTTTTTCTTTAATGTTTCTGCGTTGCTCGCGGGGGGAACTGTTCGTGACCAATAAGAGAGAGAGAGAGAGAGAGAGAGAGAGAAGAAGAAGAAAAGAAGAAGAAGAGAGAGAGAGAGAGAGAGAGAGA